GTGGGGGTGGGGGGGATGAGAATGAGAATGAATAGTCCTGTCTCTATATTCTCAGGGTAAGGCCCAGTAAGACAGCTGTAACTGAGAAGGATCATCTGAAGTGAGCACTCAGGCTCTTGTTAAACCTGTGATCGCAGACAAATTTTATGTTTCTCTCCTGGGTCCCCCTTCCTCAACTCATGGAATGGTGCTGCTAGATGATGCTGTCTTAGTGTTGGGCAGTTTAAAGTACATGGTTGTGTTTCTAAGCAGCTAAGGCAGAATTCTCAGTCTCCCAGTTGAGTCTCGTTTGGTGACTGTGTCAGGTAGGAGTCACACTGCATGCAGTGGGGATGCCATGGTGGTTCCTGTCCTGGAAACAGGCCGAGTCTTGTTAGAGGGTGAACCAGAGTAACAGCAAATGCATAGACAGCAGAGTGAGTCATTGTGCACATGCACCAGCAGGACATGGGCCATCAGCCATCAGATGTGAGACAGTGGAGTTTTCTTGTTTCATATACGATAGGAAGCCAGTGAGGAGTTCTGAACACATCTTTGATCTTGTAGTGTGCACCGATGCTTTGGCTGAGGGTGGCTGTTACAATAGTCTCGGTACATTGAGAAATTACCAACTAGTTTTATATTTAAGTTCTTAAAGGTGGAATTTATCACATGACTTGCAATTTTGATTTTATAATGTATTACTGTATTTTCCCTACTGTGAGATAGTTTGTTTCTTGGATATGAAATTTAAGATTTATTAGAAGATCATCTATATATCTGTAACATACATGAATGATGGTAATGTGCTTTTTTTTTTTTTTTTTTTTTTGGCCTTTTTGAGACAGGGTCTCCCCTGTAGCCCCAGCTGGCCTGGAACTTCCTTTGTAGCCCAGGCTGGCCTTGAACGCACAGAGCTCCACCTGCCTCTACCTCCTAAGTGTTGGGATTAAAGTCATGCGCCACCACCACAGCCGCTTGGTAATGTGCGTCTCTAATTTTTGTTTTTCTTCTTAAAAATAATTTTTGTTCATTCTTTGAAAATTTTGTGCATGTATACAATGTATCTTGAGCATATCCATCCCCTACTCCCCAAGATTCCCCCCCTCACATCTCCTTCTCAATATTTATTTAACTTTTTATTTCAGCCACATGTTTCTAATGAATTGACCATTACATTTCTAAATTTCTGAAATGGCCAACAGGTCACAGAAAGACATTTCTTTAGGCACCTGCTTGAAACCATTAGCTTCAGCAAACTGTTGGCCTTGATTCAGGGCCAGAGTACTTCTCTAATTTTTAATTCTTTTTTTCTCTTTAGGTTGTAGAAGGAACACCTCTTGTCAGTGGAAGAAGACTCAAGTATAGACTAAATGGTGATTTTCTTAAAAAGTACTTGATGACTTGCTAACTGCTATAGTTTTTAAACTAGTTTTCACTAGAGTGCTAAATAGTAAATATCTCTTAGTAGTTTGAAGAACTTGCCGATAAACTGCTTATCCTAGTAGTTAACGTGAATTGCTGTTAAGCAACACTGTTACTCCTACTGTCTATAGTTTCTTTTTTTCTTCTGTTTGGGATAAGGTTTTGCTATATTGCACAGGCTAGCTCAAAACTCACTGTGTAGCATAGGCTGGACTTAAGATCTCCTGTCTCAGCTTCCTGAGTACTAGGATTACAGGTGTGCATTGCTATGCGTGGCTAGTTTCATTTTCTTAATAGTACTTAACCACCATTCAGAATATTGTATTTGTCTAGGATTTTACCATCCTGAGCATTCCCATGGTTCTGGAAACCCTACACTGATTTAGATGTTGGGTGCACTACCACCCAAGAGCCAGCCATCCAGTCCTTGCTTACTTGGTTCTAGGTGACTGGCCTCTGGGCTCTTAATCTGTGTCACATTCTTTTCTCAGCCCTTTGCTTGAAAGCTGAATCTTCATCTTTGCCCTTGCACTGTGAAGCTGTCATTGTTACCTGCTTTTATTTAAGGGAAAGCTGAAAGGAAGGACACAGATATTCACTGTTATTGAAAAAGCATAGAGAAGCCTTTGGGTCCATTTCCCTCCCCTGCACTGTTTTATTTTGACAGTTAAGCTTTCTCACATCAGCGTGCTTTCAGTTTACTGGGTTCTCCCTTCTAGGATGTAGTTTTGTGGGCTGCGTTGTGTTCACTGCGAGCTTGGGACCAGGAGGATGTGCTGTCCCTAGTTGACACTCACTGCGTTACCGTGTTCGTGTGTGCAGAGAGAAGAGCTCATCTGCCCCTTGAGGCAGATGGTTTGGTCAGGGAAGCTCCATGGTCTGCACATGTGCTGAGGGACTAAATCCAACTTTGTCCTTTGAAGACTTTGATAAAATGCCATTAACTTGATTTTAAGAAGTCTTACGTGGTAGTTATCCTTAAATGATTTTCTATTTTACTAGATTTGATAGAATGATTTCATATTCTTGAGAATGATATGACAGATGCCCCTCAACTTATGACTGGATACATCCTCATGAGCGCATCTAAAGTTAAAAATGAATTTAATGCATCTGACCTCTCATATGTCCTAGCTTAGCAACAGAGACCACTGTAGAGTGTCTGTGGGTCACCCCTTGGTTATGTGGCTGGCTGGGAGCTGCTGCACCATGAAAGAAGGCTACATAGCATTCAGCTGGACTCCAGTGCGCCACACTTGAATTCGTCCTCTCCTGAATGTGCCTTTGCTTTTGTATTATGCATGTTAAATAGTAGGAAATTCCTAAGTCGAGCCATTGTAAGCCAGGAACTATCTGTAAAATTTTAATGCTTGACCTTTTTATTTATTCTGTTTTAGTTTTAGGGTTTTGTTGCTGTTGTTGTTTGTATATTGTCTTTCCTAGCATCTGTTCTTTCTGAAATCATACTAAAAGATTTCAAACGGGAAGCAAAAATATTCCTGGGGCCACCTGCCTTTTAGTGCCAAGTATGCAAGCCACGCCAGCCCTGTGCCAGACCTTAGACTTGCTTACTGCTGCTGGCTACCTTTTGTTTGCTTTAGCTGTGCATGTCAGACCAGTGCAGTGGAATCCACGCGGAGGTGGGCTGTTCAGGACCTGCTGTGTTCAGAGGCTGAGTGCGCACCTGGACACAACCGTTGTTGCTAGTGGGGAGAAGCGGGGCCATTGCTTGATCCTTTTGCAAAATTTTCTCCTCTGTTTATTTTGGTTCTAATATTATGAGGTTTCTTTTTATGGGATTTTTTTACCACTAAGGAAATTTCAGGGAAATTTTGAGTGATTAATTTTCATAGACTACAGAGTGAAAAACAACTTTGTATATCATTTCATAAATTTTAAAGTTAAGTTATTCTTTGAAGTAAACTTTGTATGTGGAAAACATGAATTTAAATAGTAAATAGGGGCTAGAGAGATGGCTCAGCAGTTAAGAGCACTGATTGCTCTTGCAGAAGACCTGGGTTTGATTCCCAGCACTCACATGGTGGCTAACAACCATCCATAACTCCATTTCCAGGTGATCCATTATCCTCTTCTGTCCTCTTTGGGCACTGCTCAACACAGGTGCACTTATACACATGCAGGCAATATACTCATACACATAAAAAAGTAAATCAGCAGGGCGTGGTGGTGCACGCCTTTAATCCTAGCACTTGGGAAGCAGAGACAGGTGGATCTTTGTGGGTTTGAGGCCAGCCTGGTCTACATAGTGAGTTCCAGGACAGCTGGGGCTACAGGGAGACCCTGTCTCAAAAAGACAACCCCCAAAAATCAGTGGTGATTCTTTTATTTTGTAGAAGCTGTGATTTTAGGAATCTTAACAATGACCACCACTTTTCTGTGATTGCTTACTGAAATATAATTTGCTGATTTGATATTGAATAGTAGTTTGATGACTTTACACAGAATACAGCTCCTTCAGGCACCTTGGCCCCTGAAAGCTAAATGATTTTTTCAGCCTTTGTGGGCTGGCCTGTACCATCAGACTAGGCTGTGGTACCTCACCAGGAGTTTGCCTGTGTGTGTGAATATCTTCTCCTGGGCCTCATGGAGGGCTGGCCTGCCTTAGGGACATTTTCTCTCTCTCTCTCTGTGTGTGTGTGTCTGTCTGTCTGTCTGTCTGTCTGTCTATCTGGGATTACAGGTAGGAGCAAGCACGCCTGGTTTTCTTTCTTTCTTTTTTTTTTTTTCCTAAGAAAGACTCACTTTGTAGCTCTTACTAGCCTGAATCTTGCTATATAGACCAGGCTGAACTCACTGAGATCCACCTGCCTTGCCTCCTGAGTGCTGTGAGTAAAGGTGTGCCACTGTGACTGGCCCACACTGGTTTTCTCAGGGACATTTTTAGTTCTGGTCTCTGCTGTGAGAGTGAGGTGTCTTAAGGATATGCTTTAGATGGCAGAACATGATAGACTCTTTTGATACCATTAATGAAAAGTGAATCCAAACATGAATATTTATAATTTTATACCTACTAAAATTATCCTACCTTGAGGCAGTGGCATTAGATTTTTAAATGTGTAGTTGCCCAGCTCTGTTAGGACCCTGATACTTCAGAGAAAGTGCATTTTGTGTTGCTTTTCAGTGTTCTAACAGTGAATTGCTCTTCTTTCTTCCAGCTTTTCTTTAAAAGCAGGTAATGATGGTTCACCGTGCAGAGTTGCAATGCTTAAATTGAGGACTGTGTTTATGGACTTTGCTCATTGGTACATAGTTAGTCCAAGTAATGAAATTTAAGAATTAAAAAAGACAGCAGGGCAGTGCTCACCTGAGGTTCCTTTTGCCTGGGAGGTTGAGGTGGGGAGCTCTCGTTGAGCCTGGGAGTACAGGGCTATTTTGGGCAACCTAATGTGTGTCTTGTCTCAAAAACTCCAAATATAGACTGTTGTTTTATATGGTATAAATCTAACATGAGTCTGGAGTGATGTTAATTAACCTCTTTTTCTTTTCTTTTAAGGATTCTATGCTTTTATCCTGACATGTGCAGTTGTGGGAACATCTCTCTTTGGGGGTGTTGAGCTGCATTACGTGTACACCCATTTCCTTCCATTGGCACTTGCAGCCACTGTATTTTCGGTGATCTTGAGTGTTTATCTCTACGTTCACTCTTTGAAGGCCCCCAGGGATGAGCTGTCACCTGCCAGTTCTGGTGAGCAGTAGTACATCATGTGTTCGTGGGTGTGTCCAGAGCCTCAGCAGCCATTGCTAGACTTGAGTAGATTGCTGAATTTTTCTAGCTTCAATTATGGAAAATGAAGAGAAATAACATCAAAACAGATGAGGGGAAAAAATTGAAGGGGAGATTAATGTAAAGAAAAACCTATTTTTCCCTCATGATTTTCTACTTCTCATCAGTTTAATGACTAAAACCTTTTAGCATCACAATTTAAGACAGTTTGTTGTTGTTGTTGTTGTTCAAATAGTAAATCCTTTAAAAAACAACGGGCTACAAGTTGTTTGGTTCTTACCTAAGATACTTAAATATATTTTAAAACGTTTCCTATATAAAAAAATTATGATCACACATTTGAAAATCCTCCAGTTTTCTTAGAATTGGGGTATCTGGTCACATGGCTCCCAGGAGGTGAGGCAGCCACCTCTTTAAATGGACATGGCTCTGGCTCCCCAGTCCTGTTCTTTGGTCCTGCCTCTCACCAGCAGCACCTCTACAGGCTCCAGGGGCTAACTGGGACCTAGTAATGGGCAACAGTTCTATTTTAAAGCCTCATGACTAGATTTGGAACGTTTGGGTAAAAACTTTTCCCTTCTCAGGAAATGCTGTTTATGATTTCTTCATTGGCCGTGAATTAAATCCTCGAATTGGTACTTTTGATCTCAAATACTTTTGTGAATTGCGTCCTGGATTGATTGGATGGGTATGTCTTTTTTTTCCTTCTGCCTGGATTGATTGGATGGGTATTTTTTTTTTTTTTTTTTTTTTTTTTTTTCAAATTTCAATAGTGTGACTTTATCTTGTATTTAGAAAGAAATGTTGGCCATTTAAAGAGTTAGGTGATACGAATAGTTACAGTTTTCTATAATTCTGTCTTAAAATATTTTCTTACTATTTTTCAGAGGTTTAAAATACCTTGTTATCGGATAGTAAACATTGCAGAATTTTTGTTTCTTTTTTATATCTAGGAACATGATAGTGTAGATGAATTAATGTAAGAAATACTGTTTCCCTCTCCCTTTCAATAAAGCCTTATTTTGACCTAATTTCAGACTTGCAGGAGAATTGCAGAAATAGAGTCAAGAGTTCCCTGCATCCTTTCCATAGTGTTACCATCTGACCCCATCGCAGCATGATCAAGAACAGCATTACTTATGTAGGAGCTCCACAGCCCTTATTTGGGTTTCATTAGTGTTTCTGCTGTTAGCTTTTCCTGACCCAGGGGCCTCCGCAAGCCCCCACAGTGCATTCCATTGTTTCTTCTTAGTCTCCTCTAGTCTGTAATGGTTGCTTAGTCTCTTGGGACCTTGTCACTGTTTTTGAAGAACACTGATTAGTTGTTTTTAGGATTGTCCCTTAATTTGGGTTAGTCCACTATTTTCTCATGGCAAGAGTAGCACAGGAATGACACCACGGTGCTTTAGTACACAGTACCTATGATTTGTGGGGTTGAGGTGTCTTGTTCCAGTGGTGGGCATGGGGTGGTTGTCTGCTGGGCTTCTCCGCTGGGAAGTACCCCTCCGCCTTGTGCTCAGTATTCCTGGGAGGTGCTTTGAGACGGTCCTCTTGCCTCTTATTCCAGGTGATTATTAATTTGGTGATGCTTCTGGCTGAAATGAAAGTACAGAAACGTGCTGCTCCATCCTTGGCAATGATTTTAGTTAACAGTTTTCAGCTCTTATACGTGGTGGATGCTCTCTGGAATGAGGTAATTCTTATTGTTATTACTGAGACAGGATCTCATTCTCTTGCCCAAGCTGGCCTGGCACTTGATATATGGACCAGTCTGGCTCTGAATTCACAGAGATCTGCCTGGCTCTGCCTTATGATAGTTGGGACTAAAGATGAGGGCCACCATACCTGGCTTGTTTCATGTGTTTTTGAAGTGGGGTCCTGTGTAGTCCATGCCGACTTGAACTTGGGATCCTCTAACGCTCAGCTTCCAAAGCATTAGAATTACAGGAGTGTACCTCTGTGTCTGCATGAGGTAATTAAGAGCAGAACCTTGGAGGCCATGGAGTTAGGCAGCTTTGTGAATTGGTGAATGACTTAGTTTTCCTCTGGGAACTCCTATTTACACACAAAGGCAACAGCCTGACTGGCTGGTGTTAATGTGACTCAGTGGCTCTGGGTTGGCACGTGGAGCATTGGTGGGTGTGCCCATGGGTATCACCTACTCTATTAGAAACGACACTCTTAAGTATTTAAGGTTGGTGGAAAATATAGTTTCTTTATTATAATCACATGAAAATATATGGTTAGTAGATTAGGATGTTTTTTGGTCATTACAAGGAAGGTTATTTAGTGATTTTTTTTTTTTTTTTAATTTTTAAAAATGATTTATTTACTAACAACATACTTAGAAGAAGCATATCATTACAACACAATTGACATATTCAATAACGTTTTCCTGAGGTAGGATGCATCTCTTTCAAATTTGGCTGTAAATTTTTAGGTTTACAGTTGAATTATTACAGTTATACAATATTGTACTCAGTATAAACCCTATAAGACATAAATTAAATGATGTTTTAACCTTTAAAAAGATCTCCATTTCATTATTAAAATACCCAGTTTCATATAGAAAAATTCTTTTTCAATGCAATTGACATTGGATGTTTGCACATGCATTTCTAATCTCTATATACATGACTATCACTGGTCACAGTCGCCCACCTTCTGAGCTCCTTGGCATCTGAGCATGAATACAAACTCGTCAGATAGACAGCCTTCCTCTCCCACTAGAGGCTCCATACTCTGCCATCCCTGTCACTGTCCACTGTGTTGTCAGCACCCTCATCCATTCCCCCTGTCTGCCCTTCTGGTAAATCTAGTCAGCCAGAAGTCCCTGTTCCAGGAGGGTCAGCTGTTCCTCATCTACGGCAATCCATTGTCAGTATTCCTTTGGATAGAATTGGGGTCTGCTGTTCATTTTTCCAGTAGTATGTTGGGTTACTGTCTGGAAGAGCCTTTATCTATCCTAGCCAACAACTCGACTGAAGGTATCGCCTATCTGGCTTTGTTGTTTGTCGAGTAACTTTTAGTTATGTATATGTATGCTCTTATGATATTATGTTGGCCCCTTTAATCTTTGGTTATACTTCCCTTTTGGGTGTTTAAGGACATACAGTTGGACCAGATAAACTGATTTGTTTTTACTCTTGAGGTCGTTAGAGGATTTGTTCCTCAGGGGTCCCATGGGGTTGGGAGGAGCCCCTGGCTCCTTTCTTTTACCAGCTCCATCCATGTGAGGATAAGTCAAAGGTCCTGCTCGACCATTGTTGGCTCCTCTTGGAAGCATGGAGGAAATGATTCCTCCGTGTTGCCCCTCCTCTTTATAGACTGGACACTGGCTCAAGTCCATCTGGTGGGGTCTCCTCAGCTTCCTTGATCAAGAGGCCAGATGACCCACCACCATTACAGGACATTTTGCGCGATGCTCATAGTCCCTGGGAACTAATCGATCCAGGAGGGCAAGGAGCAAAAAGTGTCCTTTGAATCCCTCTGACCCAATTAGTATAGATCTCAAGGTATGTCTGTTAAACATCCAAGAAGGTTAGTTCCACTATTCTGGCATTTTTAATTACTGTGTGTCTTGCAGATAAATCTTGGGTAATGACCAGTTGGTCTCAAATAAACCTTATCTAGAGATATTTTTCTTGATCTTTTATGTATAATTTGTCAGTAGATTGTAGGAATAATATGGTTCCCTCTGGTTTTCGTGACTAGCTAGGCATTGTTTCTCTCTTGTATCGTCTCCCCCCTCTATCATGGTTTTCCCACTTAAGGTGCCTGCACTTCCCTGCCTTTCTTCCTTACTAATACCCTTGCTCCCATGATCCTACCTCTGTTGAACTGTTTCTTTCTCCTTATCCCCTAGGTTCCTCATATCCCCTTCCCTCCCCCCTCCCCTAATCTGACCCAATTTTTATCCATATCTCCCTTCTTAAGGTCTGTTGCCTACTATTCTCCTTCAGGTTATTTCTTTTCCTTTACCTCACTGTTTCCTTACCCTTGTCCTGGTTCCTGCAGTTATGTCTGTTTGCATACTTATTTATCAGAGTCTGATCCTAGGATCCACATATGAGGGAGAACATATGTCGATTTTTTTTCTGAGATTGTGTTACTTCACTTAGTATAACAGATTCTAGTTCCATCCATTTACCTGCACATTTCATGATTTCATCTTTCTTTACTGCTGAGTAAAACTCCATCGTATATATGAACCACATTTTCATTATCCACTCATCAATTGAGGGACACCTAGGTTGCTTCCATCTCTTAGCTATTGCGAAAACAGCAGCAACAAACATGGATGTACAAGTGTCTCTGCAACAGGACAAGTTCTTTGGGTATATGCCAAGGAGTGGTATAACTGGGTCAAATGGTAGGTTCATTTGTAGTTTTCTAAGAGTTCTCCACACGGCGTTGCGGAGGGGCTGAACCAGTTTGCAACCCCACCAGCAGTGGCTTTTTGAGACAGGGTCTCCCTGTAGCCCCGGCTGTCCTGGAACTCACTATGTAGACCAGGCTGGCCTTGAACTCACAGAGATCCACCTGCCTCTGCCTCCCGAGCGCTGGGATTAAAGGCGTGCGCCACCACGCCTGGCTACTTAGTGATGTTTTGAGATGGTCTCACTGTGTAGCCCTTGCCTAGAACTTACTATATAGATCAGGCTGGCCTTGAACTTACAGTGATCTCCTGCCTCTGCTTGCTAAGTGCTGGGATAGACTGTGTCCCTGCACCCAGCTTCAGGCAGCTAATTCTTAATGTTTTATTGTTGGTGTTTACAAATACAGAATAGCTGTCCTTAGATGGATCACTCAGAATCAAGATGCCTGAGAAAACCACCTTAAATAGAGATTAGTTGCCAACCAGTGGCTGTTCTCATGGTTAATAGGTCATTAATGCCTTCTGCTACATGAAGACTAATAGTTTCCTCTGTCCAATGGAACATAATCATTTGAGAATTTTTTCCCTAGGGCCAATGTTATGACTGCTTTATTGTTTCTTTATAATTATCTCTATAAATTCCATGACAGACATTCTTTTTCTCCCCTCCATTAGACAAGGTCTTACTGCATACCCAGGCTGGTCTAGAACTCATTGTGTAGCTCAGGCTGGCCCCAAACAGGTTTTATGAGAACCTGTTGATATTTGGAGAGTGCCCCTGTGAGCCTGAAGCAGTTAAAAAAAGAAAAACACCTCAAACTATTATTTGGTCATCAGTTTTTCCCCACTCTTACGCTTTAATTTTAGCCTTCCATGAAAGAACTAAAAATGCTCAGTCAGGTGGTGCACACCTTTAGTCCTAGCTCTTGGGGAGGCAGAGGCAGGTGACCTTTTGAGTTTGAGGTCAGCCTGGTCTACGTAGTAAGTGCCAGGCCTGCCAGAGCTACATAGTAAGATCCTGTCTTAAAAGACAAAAAAGAATGCTCAGTCAGAACAACTTTGAGAGTGTGATCCTGGTGCTCCTGGAACTCTCTTTTTCTTTATTTAGGATGGCTAGGGCCTCTGAGGTGAACAGACCTCCTTTCTACATAGCACACTGTTTATAGGTTCTTGTTGCTCCTGTTCCTTAGCACAGGCCCTACTTAGAGCCTTGGCCATTATGAAAATGCTAACAGCTCTTGATCTTGAAGTCCTTTAGAATTTTGAATTCACCCCAAATTAAGCCTCTTTTGAAAGTAAAAAATGACTGTAGTAAATATATTTGGTATTGTTAGAGCAGGTTTGTCTGCTTTTGTATAGTAGATAGCTCCTAAAGAGCAGGCATAGAATAATAATTAAGTAGCTGTGTCACCTCAGAGATCCTTTCTTAGCCTTCCTTTCCAGTTAGCCGTGATTACTCTGTTCACCACTTCTTTCTAGCTTTATTTATTTAGGATTAACCCTTTTTACAGTATTTATTATTTTTGTGTATGAGTGTTTTACCTGCCTGTATATAAGTACACCTGTGTTACAGTGTCCAAGGAAGCCAGAAGAGGATATTGGATCCCCTGGAACTGGAGTTAAGGATGATGTTAGCCATCATGTAGGTGCTGGGAACCGAATCCAGGTCTGCAGGAGGAGCCAGTGCTCCTCACCTCTGAGCCATCTCTCCAGCCATCTGTTATGTTTTAATTGGCCTGGAAGGTCATGTTTTCTCTATACATTGATTTCTGTTAGCATCTTAAGGCAAAACTCTTGTGTATTTGTGGTGAGTGCTTGTGCACGAGAGAGAGAGAGAGAGAGAGAGAGAGAGAGAGAGAGAGAGAGAAGGTGCACTTGAATGTGGATGCTAGAGGACAGCCAGGTTGTCATTTCTTGGGCACCATCCATCCTTTTTTTTCTTTTCTTGGTCTTGTTGAGACAGGGTCTCCCTGTAGCCCCAGCTGGCTTGGAACTATGTAAACCAGGCTGGCTTTGAACTCACAGAGATTCTCCTGCCTCTGCCTCCCAAGTGCTGGGATTAAAGGTGAGTGCCACCACACCTGGCTATCCAGCCTTTTTTTTTTTTTTAATATTTAAAAAAA